ATGGGAATCTTTTGGTTCAAGTCCCATGGCATCTACTTCGGAGCCTGCCAAATCCAGATGTTCTGCATCCACTCCTTTTCCTTCATGGAGTCCTCAGTGCTCCTTGTCATGTCCTTTGATCGGTTTGTGGCCATCTGCTATCCCCTGAGGTATATGGTCATCATCACTGGCCAAAGAGTGGTCAGGGTAGGCCTGGTTGTCATTCTGCGGGGACCCTTGGCTCTTGTTCCCATTGTTTTTCTCCTTAAGGCTTTTCCTTTTTGTGGGTCTCGAGTCCTCTCCCACTCTTTCTGCCTGCACCAGGAGGTGATACACTTGGCCTGCACAGACACCACCTTCAACAACCTGTACGGGCTGTTATTGGTGGTGTTTACTGTGGTGCTGGACCTGGTGCTCATTGCACTGTCCTACGGGGTCATCCTGCACACGGTGGCAAGACTGGCCTCCAAAGGGGAGCGGCTCCGAGCCTTCCAAACATGCACCTCACACCTCTGTGCTGTGCTGGTATTCTTTGTACCGATGGTGGGGCTGTCCTTGGTTCATCGCTTTGGGAAGCATGCCCCACCTGCTGTCCACCTTCTTATGGCCAATGTCTACCTCTTTGTGCCTCCCATGCTTAATCCAATCATATACAGTATTAAAACCAAGGAGATCCGCCATGCCATCAGCAAGTTCCTGGGTCTTAGAAAGGCCAATGCTGACTCATGAGCCTAAAAATTCCACTGGGTGCCCTGAAGAAGGTCCCAAATCAGACCAAAGATTTATAGCATTTAGTACCAATTATACGTTCCATGTTTCCCAAGATTTTTACTCACTACCCTAAATAAAGTATGGAAGAATTTCTCTCTTGAATTATGAGTCAGCAATGCTGACTTTCTCTTGCTTAAATGATAATGATCTTCTATATATACAAGACCTAGATGTTTTGGCAACATCGAAAAATGTCCAAAAGAAGACCCTCTTGAGCCTTGTGTAAAAACTAAAACTAAATTAAACTGAATAAAAACTTAAAAGGAGCAATAAATTAAAAAGCAACTAGAACAGAACCTACCAAAGCACAGATACATGTCAGTTGTTTGAATTCACTTGAGTAACATATCTCCTTCCAAGTTTCCTTGGGACTGTTTCCCTCTTCTCTACCTGGGCAACATATTACCCTTCGGTTCCTATTTTGGATAAGCATCTCCTTTGCACTCTGGAATAACATTGGACGAATCAGAACTCCTGAACACTTAACTAATGGCTCATTCAGGTTGAACTCCTCTAAATGTTTCTCATGATGTGCTCCTCTGACTTTGTTCATCTAATAGACACCCTGGACCCCACCCCTGACTTCTCATCTCTGACTTTATCTTTCATATGGATTTGTTGACAGTAACTGAAGACAGTGTTTGCGTCTGGGAATTCTAGTTGTGAGATCTTGTTTAATGACCTGAAATGCAGTAAAGCTCCAGTGAAGGAAATTATCACAGACAAGTCTAAGTCATAATTCCACTGCCCAAGATGTTGTGAAGCTAAAATTGGCAGAGAAGTTTGCTCTTACTGTGACTAAACAAAATTCATGTTGGAGTCTCAGTGCTGAGGTTGTTTTCTCACGGACATTTTCATGGCAGTTTCTCTCTCCAAAACTAGAGCAGATTCTCCATCTATCTTCTTCCTCAGAATCCTGCATTTCCAGTTGTATCATTTGTTACATAGTAATGGACTCTTCTGTGTCTTAGCTCAGTTTCTTTCTCAGTCCTTCACACTAGATTTCTAAATTAAGCTCTTTAGAAGGATTATTCATGTCTTGTTTATCAGTAAATCTCCATAAATGCAACAGTTGTATCATAATAGATACTCAAGGAGTAATTATTTAAATGCATTCCTTAATATATTAATATATGCATAAAGTGAGATTCAGGCCTTCCCTGGTGGCTCAGATGGTAAAGAATCTGCCTGCAATGAGGAAGACTTGGGTTCGATTCCTGGGTTGGGAAGATTCCCTAGAGAAGGGAAAGGCTGCCCACTCCAGTATTCTTGCCTGGAGAATTCCATGGACAGAGAAGCCTGATGGG